TCAGTGCTACCACCTTGTGTGGGACCATCAGATTATAAACGTGCTCCTGGATCACTTATGGAAAGCAAAAGGGTGGATGGTTGGACTGGTGCTAGCTTTACCCTGCAGGGACTAACAACACACGGCTGCTTGAGCCACGGTGGAAGCACAAGACCCTGAGCTGCCTCTGGGAATCCCAGACAGTGGCTTCACCTCTTTTTCTTTGCTCTAGATCCTCCTAAATGCCTGTAATTTTTAAAGACTTGGCTGTGTGTCTCTTTTACCACCTTGTTTTCAAGCAGCATGCCCGGTAAGGGAGTTCGGTTCATATCAGTTGTCCTCTCTTACGCCAACCATAACTTCGTCTTGCCTTGTTTTTGAGTCTGTTTTTGTTTTGTGCCATTTATGCAGGTTCCTAGCCTTATTCCTGCGTTGAATAAGCAGGTCTGTTAGCTGCACATAATCCATACTGTTTGAATCATTTTGAGTTTGCGGCTCTGTGGCTTGCAGCAGTACGTACCGTGTGTGTTGGCAGATGACTTAAATACTTCTGAAAGGCTCTGTTTTTCTAGGTCATTCCTACATGAAGCCGATAAAACTGGCTCTGTTCTGACCTGTGTGTCACTACTGTACCCACAGCTCTTCACTCAAGGTGCCTTTTCACTGAAATCCTGTCTTCTGAAAGTATTTTTTAGAATCTATTTCAGGAGCTTTCTGTACCCCGGGACTTCTGTTCCTGTAGCTCTACTCTCTGTCGCATTTCTTGAAAAGCCGAGGTTACTATTGCACATCCGAGCCCTTCCGCAGCACAGCGACTCTCCTGTCAGCACGACGAGATGGCGAAGGCCGCTGCAAGACCTCGGCACGCGTTCACCCTCACGAATTGCCCAGGTCCTGTCCTGCTTGTTCTCTAGCCGCCCGTTTGCCATCCGTCCAGGAGAAATCTCCGTGAGCTGGCTGTCTCTGCTCTTGGCAGTGCTGCTCCTCGGAGATGGCCGGTTGATGGATGGACAGAGGTTGCCCTTGGCTTGCTGGAGGCATAAGCCAGCAGGAAGCAGGTCTGGGGAACACAGAAAAACAGATGTGTGGGAAGAAAGTGCTGTGGCTGACTGGTCAGAGCTGGAGTCGCGGCAAAATTTGTATGAAGGCGAATCTCTGTCTCCCAAGTTACCTGCGTACCTTGCGTTACCCTGGTAAAACAGTGCTGCCACGGCAGTTCAACTAAAGCTTTATCCAGGTGCCTGCTAGCCTGCCCACGTATTCCAAGCAAATAAATTAGTGCAATTAATTAGGGAAATAGGCCTGGTGTATAGCTTGGAGCCTCTCTGCCAGGAGATTCTTGAGCAATAAGGCTCTCCAGAAGGTCTCTTGGAGCCTGATTTTGGGCTGTGTGAGGATGTAATCGGTGATGGATAGAGCTGAAACCACAAGAAGAAGTTGGTCATGGACACTGAGGTGCGAGGAACAAAGGTAGTTCCTGATGCCATCCGCATCCTTGGGCAAAAGCTGTGATTTTCAGCAGCGCTGGGAAGAGGTGACTCCAGCATGGTGACTGCATCGACTCAAAGAGGAGGAAGGCAAAGTCAAGTGAAGGCGGGGATGGGTGTCAGATGAGAGTATGCTTTATGGTGTGAGCGGCACGGCAGAAGGGCGTGAAGGAGAGTAGCGTGTCTGCTGGGATTTGGCCTTGAGGTCCAAGGGGGAGAGCGGAGGGGATTTGAGCGTTTGTGCTCACTGTGAGCTGCCGGAGCAGGGTTGTGCAGTGCTGCTGGTGGCCCACAGCCTTTGTCCCACGAGAGAGCAGGAGCAGAGCCCTCCGGCTCTCGCCAGTGCCTCTGGAGGATGGTGCTCTTCCCATGGGGAGTGCCAGTTGAGCAGCAAAGGTCTCTTGGCTCTTTTTGGGCAGGAATTTGAAAGCTTAATGCAGCCTATTGTGCTGAAAGACTTGCAGGCAAGCTCTCCATGGCAACTCTCCCTATACACAAAGCACCATATGGCTTTTTCGGAGGGGGAGGGAATGCATGGCGCAGAAAAGTTAACCTTTGTTTCTGGTGGTGTTTGTCTTTGCTCTCTGACATGGAGTGCTGTCTCCTGGGCATGGCTTCTGCTGACCATGCCACCAGCAATGCTGCAGGAGACCTCTCAGATGGACTTTCCTTGCTTCTTACAGCGGGACTTGCTGTAAAAATAAACCCTGCCTGCACAGGGGCCCTCTCTGTGGGCTGGGTGCTCTGCAGACAGATGGAGCAACCAGTCTCATGTTCCCCCCTACAGCAGGAAACACAAGGGCTGGGAAGGCTCCAGGAGCACTCGGTTTGGGCAAGAGCAGTACAGGAGGCAGCTGGTGTCGGGGAGCTGTTTGTGCGTTGTCTGCCCACGCTTTACACCCCTGCTTCTGAAGGGAACGGGGAGCCTTCGCTTGACTCTAAATCCTCCCTTTTCAAGTCCCTTTGGAAGGAATGAGCAGGATAAATATCTCTATTTGTGTCTGTAGAAAAGCAGGAAGCTTTTGTGTGTCTGCTTGGAGGGGGAGGAAAAGATATTATACGGGAATAAGCAGAAGGGAGCAGCCTGTGCCTGGCTTCGCCATCTTTGGGGCGCTCTGTGTTTCCCGGGGCTGCCGTGGGGTGCCACCAGCAGCACTGGAGATGGCCTTGCAGGGGGGGCATGGGAAGGATGCCGTGCCTGGCAGAGGTGTGAGGTCAGGCAGCTGGGAGCACTGGCAGCTGCCCAGCACCCAGCTGTGTGGCTGGAGTCCTGCCGCCATGGATTTGGGGGCACAGGTGTGCCGCAGACGTGTCGGGGCGTGCTCAGAGGCTGTAGAGGGCAGACCTGTCACTGGGACATCCCGCAGGGCAGAGCCCTGGCTGGGCACAGGACCGGGCACTATGCCTGCAGCCTGTGTCCCCGTGAGCTGATCGGGCTCTTGGGATGCTCCCATGCACGTCACAGCCACCTCTCGAGGTCGCCACTGACTGCATGCTGCAGCCTGTAGTGGGCGAGGGACACGGCTGGCTGTCCCCTGTTCCCATGGTGTGGCATGGGTTGCCTTCCAGGAGCGCTGTCTGGCTTCTCCAGAAGCGGGCAGAGTCTCCCCTTGGCGAGACCCACTCTCAGGTACTCCCATGGTTTTGTAACAAGCAGCGGGCTGTCCCCATCTCCTCCATCCTCCCTGCTGTCCGCAAGGAGCCTGGCGAAGTTGGGAATGGGGACGGGGATAACTGTTGGGAAAACTCCCAGCTGTAGGCTCGGACCCGTGGATGGAGGTGTGCGGGTGGGGAGAGGGTAGTTTTAGGAGAGGGAGAGTACAGCCATGCCTGAGTGCTAGACCTGCTAGTTGGAGCAGGGGTGGCCCGAGGCTGGCTGGAGCAGCCGTCTCGCTGCTGTGCGGAGGGTTACAGGCAGGAACCCCGACAGCTGGAAGCACAGCTCGCAGCAGCACCGGGGATGCTGAAGCCATGAATCATAAACAAGAGCACCTTGTATCTGATGAAACTGCGACCCCACCATGTGCTTACTGGAGAGCATAGCAGCGCGTGCTGGCTTCTAGAAAAGGAATTTGGCTTATTCCTGGGTTTGATTTACAGTCTAACCCCTGGGAGCCCCAGACCCAGGTTAGGGGAGGGCTCAGTTCTCAGTGCCGCATCCTCAGATTCTCCTACTCCCAGGGGCTGGTGGTACCCATCGCGTTGGTGGCTTCAGCATCTCCTGGGGCCGTGACTGTGTTTGCATTTAATGGTCAGCTGAAAGAGGCACAGGTTTGGGTGGGAGAGGTGTTGCTGCAAGCCTGGCTCCTTACTCTGTCCTTTGACTTCATAGTAGAGGTACAGATCCCTTAGTGAAATACGGCCTTTCCTGATATCTGGAGATGGCCCCAAAGCGGGAGCCCCGGCTGTGGCTGTATGGGGACTGTGCCCTCTGAGGGAGGCAGTGTACGATCCCGTCTGGGTGGCTGTGTCATTCGGCTGCAGCAAAACGTCACGCAACTTGCGTGCCCCTTGGGTTTGGACTCGAGCCTGGGAGCCGTTTGACTTGGCTGAGCTGCCAGCCTGCTGGGAAGCCAGCGGGCTGAAGGACGCAGAAAGCAAACCCTGCATTGTAGCTCTGCTCTCATCATCCTGCCTTGAGCAGCCGTAAAAGGAAAGCCTGTCCCTCCTCAAATCCAGGCGATCGCCAAGCTTTCCTAGGAGCACTGACATAATGACTCCCTCTGCCCAGCCAAGTATCGACATCAGACAAACCTAGTGCTGCAGCGCTTGCAGCTCCGAGGCGTGTGGTTTTGAGCCTGCTCTTTATTTTGGGACTGCAGCATCTGATCTTGGTTTGGTGTTTCCAGCCCGTGATCTAGGTCGTGCGCTGGATCGAGCATTAGCTGTTGCTTGAGGGAGCATGGGGAATTTACGCTCCCTTCCTCAGTCGGAGGACTCTGAGAAATGCCACTCTGCTCTGCTGCGGGTGGGTGTTTGGGGGTGGGTGGGAGGAGTATTTTTTTTTTAAGAAACCTCCTTGAAAACCTCCTATTTTCCTGTCCCCCCATGAGGATGGCTCCTGATGTGGCTGGCCACGGGAGGAGCAGTAGATGATAAAAGCTTTGGTGCAGCCTGCTTTCTCTGCGGTTCCCATGGTAGTTGGCTGTCACACATAGATCTAATGTATTCCCTGCCCACAGCAGGATTAAAACCTTCTGGGAGAAGAATAAGAGGATGCACGAAACAGAGATAGGGAAGAAACCAGGCAAAGGAATGGAGACCATGGCGGCGTAGGGATGAATCCAGGTGCTAGCCCTGTCGGAGCAGCAATGGGCCTCGTAGGATCTCTGCCAGGGAGCAGCCATCCCAGTTGCCTTCCACCTGAGGTGATGGTGGGACGCCTGGAAGCAGAGGTCCTTCCCGAAAGCTGAAGGCGCCGGTGTGTGCAAGAGGAAGTTCTTGTTCTGCTGTTGTGTCTCCCAAAGCTGTCCTTCATTCGAGGGTGCACGTTTCCTCTTGGTGATTCTCTTTCTGTTTTATTTTCCTCTGCAGATCCTGACAGCCAGTTGTATGATATGGGATATACCCCTGAGGAGGAAGCCCCAGCCTGTCCCGATGAGTTTGATGACTTTGTCACGTTTGAGGCAAGTATGAGTGCTGCAAACTCCCACAAGTGGCAGCTGGGTGCAGGGAGGGTTTGGCTGGGGGAGAAGAGTATTTGCTTTGACGGGGCTCAGGGATGCTTAACATGTAGCAAAGACAAATCCTTTAATCTGTGGGTGACTGGCCTGGAGAATCTGTGCCAAGCATTTGGGGCTGTTAAAATTGGGGTTCAAGGAAAAACCCACAGCTAGTGCTGTCTTGGCACGCAGAATGCCAGTGCATGGTGCCCTGGGTGGAGGAGGGAGATCCTGCTTGTGGTGAGACCCCAGCGAGGTGGGAAGGGTGCTGGCTGCTGTCATCTTTGTCTCCTTGCTGGAGTATGGGGAACCTGCACCTGATTTCGAGCTGTGCCAACCAAGAACCTATGAGAGGCACATTGGAGCAGTTGGATCTTGGCATACGGTACTGTTTGGCTAGTAAAGGGCAGAGCAGAAGACGAAAATGTGGATTTTTCTTTTTCTCTCTGTTGTTGGGCTAGATCAGGGATGCTTATCTGACAGGGCTACGGCCTCCCTTCCCTTCTGTAGCACCGTGGCACAGGAGCGTGTTGCAGTAACCTCCTGTATCTGCTCTCCCTGGCTAGAAAGGAGGCTGCTGCTGCAGTCTGTGTGGGGGCTTTGGGGCTTTGCTTGGTCAGCTTCCTCTGTTCCTGCTCTGTGCCTTCCAGTCTGGAGCAGGAGGTGCTGGAGATGCCTTCAGGGCAAAGGCCTGGCTGGTTCCCTGGTCCCACACCGTGACTCAGTAGCCACCTCCTGCTTTTCGTTTGCCAAACTCCTCTTCAGGTTTGTGACTCGTGTATCTTGGTACCTGGGGTTTTTTATCACACATTGTTACTTGCACAAGCACTCCCAGCCTCTGTTACATTTGCATGCAAATATCTGTGTCTGTGCTTTAAATAGTCTGTAATATGTTATTTTGGCCGCGTGACTTCTTGATAAAAGGCTCAAGTTATTCTTTTGAGTTTCCTACTGGTAAATTGGGTGTTGAGCAACTGGTCTTCCCGATGTTAGTGAGAAGCACTGAAGACGGCAGGAAACTCTCACTTTGACTTGTGCTTCGAGAAGCACGGGTCAGTCACTTAAGACGGCTGGAAACTCTCACTTTGACTTGTGCTTGACAGGTCATCATCCCATTTCCCAGCCAAGCCTGGATTTTCTTCGGAGCCGGTTTGCTAGCTCCCTTTCTTCAAGCCAACCGACTTGCACCGTCCCCTGAGCGAGTCCCTTACTCCCGTAGGACTGCTGAGGTGAACACAGCCTTACGAGCGTGTGATCCTCCCCAGAAGGCTGCCAAGGGTGTGTTGGACATTAGATTATTTCTCCTTTTTGAAAGACAGTTGCAAAAGCCAGTAATAGCTGGTAGAAGGGGGACAGGAGGGCAGGAAGGGAGAGGGGTTTTCATGTTCTTTCTTCATGTGGTACAAGGTCACAAACGTGCTTTTTAACCACTGGACTGAGGGGTTTGGAGGCTGTGACAGTCTGCGTCGCAGTGCTCGTGCAGCAAGGGCTTTTCATTTTGCTCCTCAGACCTGCGTCAAGGGACAATCTTCTGAGATTCAGAGCAGGGATGTTTTCTAAGGGCTAATTTTACATAGATGAGCTCTGTCAGTGCTGCAAGCTGTTCTGGGCAGGAATACCAACAAGCCAGGTGTGCGCCCCGCTGGGATGAAATACTTCTGCTGCTGGGCCATCGTTTCCTTGAAGCGACAAGGTGACCCAAAGGAAAAAGGTGATGAATCCTGAAATCTCCTTTTCAGAAAGATGTAAATGGATTCTTATACTGAATTCAGGGTAATTGTCTAAAGATCAGAGCTCTTTCGGTGTCTACGTTTAATATGCCAGGGAAGAATTACCCTTGTTGTCTTGGATACATGATTCAAAATAATTTCCAGCCTGCAAGGATTTTGTAGAGGTTCAGCAAATGAGAACATGATCGAGAAATACCGCCCAGCGTCGCAAGTGTAAAAATAAATTGGTGTCTTGGGGCGCGTGGTCTTTTGTTCTTGTTTAGCTGAGCCGTGAGCTCCCAACGTGTGTTTCATGCCACATGTCCTGTAGTGCTGCACCTTGGAAAGCTTGAGCTCTTTCAGGGAGCGGGGATGAGGGAAGCCGTCGTACAAAACAACCTGCTGGGAGCAGCAAATGAGTGTTTTTCACCAGAGCATCATGCCACCCGGCGGGGGGGCTCCGGCAAGCCCTGCTTCGTTCGGTGCAGCTGGCAGCTGCTCTGGAAAGGGTAAGACAGAAAACAGAGTTAAGTGGCCTTTCCCAATATATATATTCAGCCCAGCTTGGATTCAGGGGAAGAAGCACCCTTTCAAAAGTGGAGGCATTGCCTTTGCTTCGAGTAGACCTCCCACACCACCAAAAAGCATTTTGTGTTCTCAAATGTCCCCGCTCCAGACCTGAGAAGGCAGCACACAGCAGGCACGCGGCTCTCAAACCGTGGGATCACCAGGCAGCTCAACAGCTTCTTTAACACGGCAGCGTTTTTCTCAGCCCCCAGAACGCAACCGGTGGACTTCAGACCATCTTGCCTCGGCGGGGCCATGGGGCGAGGGAGCACCACCAGCTTTTCTCCTCTCCTGTCCCATCAGAGGACGTTGGAGAGGTGAGCTGAAGGAGGGGTGCTGCATTTCCTGTGCCATGGTGCTGAGAGTCATCGTGGTCGTAGATTTGGAACATCGGCTCTGGTCCTCCTTAAACAGCACAGAATCACAGTGGCTTGAGTGCTTGGATCTTACAAGTGTTGAGGCCTTGACAGAGAGCTTTTCTCATAAATGTTTGTTTGCACAAGTGTAAACAAGTGCTTTGAGCACTCTAAATGAAAATGTCTTCTCTTTGTTAATAAGGTTGCTCTTCTTGGTGACTCATCCCCTCTTCTGGTGGCTGTCAGCGCTGTGGAAAACCCCGAGTATCCGGTATCGGTGTCTCTCAGTGAGTGTTTGCTCCACGGAGAGAAGAGCCAACACTTGCACCTTCCCGTAAGGGCCTCTCGGAGAGGGCAAGGTCTGAACTTTGGCACTTCACGCAGGGACCTTTGTAACGTCAGAGACTTCCACTGGTGTGGCTCCTGACGTGGCACGGAGCTTATGGCTCTTGTTGCGCCTTGGCATGTCTCTCCAGCAGACAGGTCTGTCTGTTAAACCCTTTTCAAAGAGGATTTCTAGTTGCACGGCTCCAAGACGTGTGCAGGGGATTGGAAGTGCAGGAGCCCGGCTTCCTGCAGCTATGTGGCCTGTTGTGTGTCCGGCTGTGCTTGCAGGGGGCTGGTGGCAATCCCTAGCATTCAGCTGTCACGTGGGAATAGCATCCCCTCTCTGCCCACTCGAGCGCAGGGAGAGCATCACCTCGCCGGGGTTGCCTGCCTGCCTGCAGCCCCAGACCGTGCATTCCTCCCTGACCGAGGTGGAAGCACGGTGGTGGCTGGGGGAGCTGGGTGACAAGCTTACTGCTTTCTAATTCTGCAGGGAACCAAAACCATAAAAATACTGACAGCATTTTTGGCTACCCTGCTTTGTAAAAGCTATGTAGAGGGAGCATGGAGTCTGTCTGTCCAGGCACCTGAGTCCTCGCCTGTTTTCCCCCAGGCTGGGCTAGTGCAGCTTTGCTGCTGACTAACGGGAAGGTAGGAGTTATCCTTGCCTCCCTTGCGAGCTCCCGTGGAGCTTGTGACTCAGTTCTGAGGCACATGGACCCGTTTGTGATGCTCTGCGTGGGGGAAAGGTGCATTTGGAATTAGCTTTCTTGATACCTGCTGTGCGTTGCCCTAGGACAGGGCACTCTGCCCTGGCTCCTGGGGGTAGATGAGCCCACTCGAGCAATGTAGAGGGGAAAGGCTGGCTCCCAAAATGAAAGCAAGCCACAAAAATTCAGCATGCTGCTGGAGCTACGCTGGGATTGGGCATGGAGACGTGTAGGCTTAGGTGGGCTGGAGGCGAGGCAGAGCTGGTGCAAGGCTGCGCTCTGTAAAGACTGACCGGGAGTGCAATAAATAGCACAAATGCCTTTTTTTGCCATGAGAACCTAGGCCAGCAAGGTCGTAGAAAGGCCTTTTTTTCAGTCTGCAAAGCAGGGCAGCCCAAACTGCTGCGGGTGAGAGGTGCGGGGGCAGTGGGGCAGGCTGTGCGGTGCTGCAGCTCCTCGGTAGCAGCCAGGAAGGTGCATCGCGCTGAGCCGCGCATGGCTGCGAGGGGACTGTTTTGCTTTCTCGGAACAGCAGCACTAACCAGGCGTGCAAACGGTAACCAGGACCACGTGTGGGCACCCTGCAAGCCTGCCACCCCCCAGGCTTGTCCCCTCGGGCTAAATGTCCGGTAGCAAGTTGTGCGGCACAGTGGGAGAGCATCTAGGGAGCAGAGTGGTGGTTGGGAGGTCCCACACCTTGTTTTGGGAGGAGGGGATGCTAGGGCCTGTCTCCAGCATTGCCTGTCCCCAGGCCCAGCTGGTGGCTGCTGGAAGAGCCATGGCCTCTGTTCAAGTTGGAATTTCTTTTCACGTGGAGTAGTTGAATTTAATGCTTCTTGAAGGGCAAAAACCAGAGCGAAGCAATTTAAATCCGCATTACTGGGTTTCTCCAGCTGCTCAGAGTTTCTGCAAGGGGATCTGGCAACGTGCATGATTCCAGCTGTGCACTGGTAACGCGCAACCTGTTGCCGAGAGCGCCTGGTGTACCCCCAGCTTTGGTGTGCAAGAGCCGTTCCCCCAGGCACCAGCTCTCGTGTGGTGACTTGTGTTTTGCAACGAGCCCACGTAGGATGGTTGTACGAGTCTGTTCCAGACTCGCTGTCTCTCGGGGTAGCCCAGTGGACCTTCTGAGCCCTTCTTTCTTACTGCACACTGCCTGGGAAGATACTTGCCTGCCGCTAAAGCAGAGAGCTGTGCCTGACGAGCACAGAGAATATTTGGAGTGTGTGTTTTCTGTCTTGGTGGACCTGTTTTGCAATCCTCAGTGGTTTACGTGAGGTTTTTCCTCCTCTGCC